TTTGCCAAACTTGTTATCCTATGATGATTTGAATACTTTGGGATCATTGCGACTAGGAAAGTACACTCCGGTAATCACCTGATCCTTTAAGAATTGATTGTATTTCTGATATATATGATATATTTTCTTGAAAATAATATTTTTTAATTCCTGCGCAGTGGTTAATAATGTGCATTCAACAGAAATCTCTGATAAGTGTGAGGAGGCTCTTAACTGCTATCAAAATACCATGGTTGTGAAGTAAGTTTATGGCCAGTATCATATGATTGTATTAAATTTATTTTTCTTGTTGAAAAGAGAGAGCAAGTTTTAGGTTTAGCATGAAAGAGTCAAACAATGCTGAATTCTGTTTTTATCTTCTCACCTATGAAGACAATAGAGATTGTTGTACCAGAGCTTCATGAGATGCGCACTGCCCATGTTGTTTCCATTGGCTCTGAGTGCATAGCATCACTAAACCCTGATTGTCTGGACGGGTATGTTTTTGGGTATTTTGAAGCTTAAAGCTAGTAATCTTATATTTTCTCTGATTGTAACAAGGCATTATGGCTTATTTGTTGTTTGGATGAATCTTCTCATTTGTTGTTGAAAGCACTCAAAACTGGAAACTCTCAATATCTAGCCATGCGCACGCGCGCGCATATCATGTTCATTTTAATTTTTCTGTTGTAGGAAAGGTACAAAGCTGACATATGATACCCGTACAAGTGTCGCGCTTTTCCGATCATTTACAGCAGGAGACTATGTTGCAGCCCAGTGTCTCAGGTGATGCGAGAGAGATATTTATGAAGCTTCAACTTCAAATTATGCATCACTTTTCAATGATATGGAAAAATCATGTGCTGCCACTGTTAGAAGTATTTCTCACGTAGATTCTTTAATATAATTTAAACTATGTAGCTTCTAATCCTCTTTTCCATTTCAGACGAAGGCTCATGTATTACCATATGGAGATTTTCAAGAAAGTGGATGTTATTGTGACTCCAACAACAGGGTATGTACATATAACAAACAATTGTGATAGAAGTACAATCTATTGTGATGGACCTTCAACTTGCTACGAAATTGAGTTGAATCAATTAGCATTCATGTGTTCTTTTACTTTCTAACGGCAATTTGGAACATACCGCCTTGGTCCTTCTTCTCCCTGCAAAGAGAACTGGGTTCTCTAATTGTTCACCTCTTATGGAGCTCATGCCATCATGTATTATGTAACAAGGAATGACACTTAAAATAACTTATAACATTAACAGTTAAGAACTTTAATAGCTAAAATCTTTTCTGAAGACTAAAAATAAATTCTCATTATTTCTTAAAGTTACAACTGATACTCTCTAAAATTTTAACCTAATATCCTTGACGTTGCAAGGTGCTTTGGATTTTTGACTACTACTGGATGAAAATACTTTGTAACATTGGAAAAATTAGGTTGTAATTTTAGAGGGTATGAGTCGAAATTTCAAGAAGCACCGATAGTAACTAATTTCTATTATTTTTGAGAGACATTCTAATTATTAAGGTCTTTTACTACAATATTGAATTGTAAGTGACCCCCTTATAGAATTTACGATTACAACTGAAGAAGGCATAGGCAGCGTTGTGGGGCTCTGGAAATTGAGTATCATTGTTACGAAGAATCATAAATACTTACTGACCAAATCAAACTTCTAATTATTTTTGGGATTAAGGCTTAGTTTTTTTGTTTATGCTGGAATTATATATCCTCCAGAAACAGAAACTAAATTACTTTTTATTTTCCTGACAGCATGACGGCACCTAAAATACCACCTAGTGCTCTCAAAAGTGGCGAGACAGATATTCCAGTTACAGGTGATTTTATATTCGGCTTCAGTGCTGCATCTAATTATTCTTGCCTCTAGCCACATGTTCATTCGAGGATTGGCTTTCAGGTTATCTTATGCGTTTTGTCATCACTGCAAATCTTCTTGGGTTCCCTGCAATTACTATACCTGTGAGTGAGAGTGAAGTGAATTACTAAAAGAGACTATTTCTTCTTCACTGTTTATTCTTTTGGTGTAAAAAGTATATGATTATTGCTTATATTCTGTAATTCTGTTTCCCCTCTTTATTTAACGTGTTCAATGTTTAGATTGGTTACGATAAAGAAGGACTTCCAATAGGTTTGCAACTAATAGGTCGACCATGGGGGGAAGCAACAATTCTGCGTCTAGCTTCTGCCGTCGAGGTACGTACTCTGTTATGCATAACATGAAATGGTGCTAATGGGGTCACGAATAATTTCATGGCGAGCCCGACTTTTAATGTTAAGCTTTTTATCATTAAAGATATTGAGATGAGATTCTGACCTTACTGTAAGGGGAAAATAATACTTAAGGGACTGCAACTCATAACGTTAACTGTTAGAATCGTAAAAATTAAAATTTTTTCGAAGACCGGAGAAACAAGTTACAATTAGTGCTTCTTAAATCTACCATTCATACTCTAAACATGTCATAACATTAATAATCATCAACTGTCATTTTCTATAAGTGCTAATAGCAGCTTATTTCTATGACATTTTGAGAGGATTTTACTTTTAAAATTTGGCACTGTCAATAGTATAACTTGAGTCCTCAAGTATCATTTTTAGTAGTATAGAGATCAGTGTGAGAATCTCAATATATGTAGTTGGGAAAAAAGCTCAATTTCTTGGCCACCGCGTAGTTTCCCGTTGCGTGCAATATAGGTCAATCTGTTTCTCTGTTTAATGCGCACAGAAACTCTGCGGGGAGACGAAGAAGAAGAAACCTGTACAATACTATGATGTTCTGAGAGCAAACTGAAGCTGCGTTTATCAAAGCTAAAGCTTCTGCAGTCTCCGTTATTTGTGAGTTATTATATGCACAGTATGTTTGATTCTCTGGACATCTCATTTCTTCGGATGATACTCTTGATTGCATGAACATTATTCCCAGGAAATATGTTCTGCAGGTAGTAATTGTAATAATTTCAAGACAAAACATGGATCTTGACATATCCGAAGGAAAAAAAAAAAATCATATTCTTCCTGGGTACTGTTAAATATGCTTCAATAATTGTTCTGTGCTTCATACAGTTATCAATTCAGTGTCTCATTGGTATAAGTAGAAAGATAGGTAACTGGTGCATGTGATAATACATAAGTTGATAGGAGTATCATGGAGACTTGGTCAGTTCTCCACACGGGTAGCTAAGTGGAATGAGATACTATATCCATATCCAAAAGCTAGCTTACAAGGCAAGAGAACTAGCCCCTTTACCTATCAAGCATCTCATAGACTCGTACTAAATGAGATTTAAGCATTTAGCATTCCATGCTTGAAATATTACTCAATGTGGGAGTTAGTGTCTCGTATTTGAGCTAAGTTTCCATTGGAGTATCTTTTGCTTTGATTGTTAATTGTGTTTAGAAAGTTTCTCCCTCCGATTCTAAATACCTAAGTTAGATAATTAATTTATAGATTTCAAAAAAATTAGTTAAGTTAGTTATTTGTAATAAATGTGTTGATTTTCCTAAATTACCCTTTTTAATCATTATTCATATTGATAGAAATTTCCTTTAATATATGCTATTAATAAAGAGTTTGGGAAGAAATTTATAGATTTGGGAGATAAAGTGGATGATGTTTTTATATGTAGGATCCCCATTAACTCTTATATTTAGGATTGGAGGGAGTAATAAAAACAATGATAAAATGAAAAAGAAATTGTCCTTAACTTAGAGAGTTGTTTAATTTATTCCTTTTTTAAAGGCGACAAAATTCCTTTTATTTTTAAGTTGATTATATCTTCTTTAAAATTGACCAATGACACTAAACTCTCATAATTGTTATATCTTAATTGATTAAATAAATATTTTTTTTATGTTGCTAAATGTTATTTCGATGTCTTTAAAGGGTAAATACTTTTGTTAGTTAGCTTACAAGTAAAAGATTAAGATGACGGAAGAATTATGTGGTAGAAAATTATGAGGCATAACAAGGTTTGAAGCTAAATATCTCTATTAAGCCAGCTTAGTGATGCCTTTTAGAAAAGAAATGTTCGGCTGAAGCATCTAGGTGGCATCTAAAATCAATTTAATTATGAGATAAACTTGATATGTTTAAATTTTGAAATGACAAAATATTTACAATTGAAAATAATTTAATTGGTGTTGTTTTTTTTTCCTTCCGGTTTTAAGTCATGCTTTCGACTTACCAATTGAAGCATTGAGAATATTTACATTCCAATTTACGTGTAATATAAAATTGAATTTGAAAAAACATAATTAAATAAAGTCTTGGGTATGAAATTAATTTAAAATTTTTAGACTTAATTTTATAAAATTCAGGGGGCTAGCGTCTAACACCACACACACGGTAAGAAATTCAGTCCCCATCATTATGTGTCTAAAAAATTGTGTTACGGATCTAGTTTATACGTTAAATTAAATTAAATCAGAAATTAAATCTTATATTAAAAATTGAGGGTAGTACTTCGCATTAAATCCAATAAATATATGCAACTTATGGCTTAAAAATGTGCTCCATCTGCCAATTATCTGTTTACAAAATTTATGAAAATTAATTGATGTATTTAAAAGGGAAAGTCAAGGGAAAATTCCTCATTAAAAATTTTATCCATAAATAAAATTTGTAGGGCATCAGTACCCTAGCTGTATAAAATCTTATTAAATCCTTCCAACCAATAAAATTCTTGACTGAAAGACTTTTTTTGGAAATTTTTTTTTCCCCAAATTACTTCATCTTTTTAATAAATTCAATTTAAAAAATTAAAAAAATGGTGTTAACAACTTTTAATTGAATTTTATTATTCTTTTATGCTACATTTTCTTATTACTAAAATTTTAAAATCCTATTTCTCCAATTTTTTAAATTGAGGTCATTAAATTTTTTCTTCTTTACCCTCTCCTCCTTTTCCCTCCTCCCAAATATATGGTTAGAAAAGAAATATTAATTTTAGAAAAATATTAATCACTGCTTAATTTTTGCAAACCATCATTTTTTATAAACAAGAACACAAAACATGGAAGGATTTTTTTTTTTTTTTTGGTTTTAACAACGAAAAGATCTATAATAGTCCCAGCACAAAATTAACCATGATTTTTTCCTTGTTAAAAAAAAAAAAAAGCTGATTTGTCGGCTCAAGATGAAAATATCATAGCATAAATGGAGTACTTGAGGCCTATTCAGAAACTCAACGTCTCAATGGCCTAAAGTAAACCTAATAGGAGGAGAAGAAGAACTAGACCCTTATCTCTGTTCGTTCTTCTCATCAGCAACATCGCTAGGGAGATCCCGTCCAGAAGGCATGTTGCCTGGATAGTTAGTTGTTGATGCATGCGAACCTGTCATGCTGGAAGCAGGAAGAATTTAATTTAATTTTGGAAATCCTGATTGATTAATGATGAAAGCAGCTTCGTCAATTTGTGAAGAAGTTGTACCCTCACCTTCTGTCCACAATGACCATGGAGCGAAGCTCACAATTGGCAAAACTGCAAACGCATATGAAGAAATAGTCACCCCACGCTTCATTCATAGGAACGAAAATTATCACAATCATGATAACTTTCGTTACAGACTGTAAAAGTTCAGTTTCTCTCTGTTTTCTTTTTTTCCAAATCACAGTGGCAAGTTCAAAACTTGAGAACTAGACTACGAATAAACACGAAAGGGTTGGCAAACTCCAGAATTATAACTGGGAATACGAGCAACCCGCAGGTTGCGGCCTCCAGCCCACATTTTGGCGGGCTAGAAAAGTCCCAACCCTAACCGCCACAGTGGGTTGGCAGGTTGGCGGATCTTTTTTTTTTTAATTCTCAATTTTTAAATCTTATTTTTATTTAATTTTTTAAACTAATAAATAGTGATCCAAAATTTCAAAAGTAATCACAAGTATAAATTATATTTAACCACATTTAAAATAGTCAATATAAATATAAAACAATATATTACAAATATTTTACATGACTAACATTCAACATCAATTTATCAAGTGATAAATTTTATAATTTTTTTATACAAATGTCATGTTTGATACAAAACACTATCTCTTAATAAATTAGAAGTGCATTTATCTAACTTTTTTTAAAGTTCATTCACCACATTTTTCTAAAATACTTTTTTTCTGTAATAAATATTATCTTATATTTGATTGTAGTTATTAAATTTTTGCTACAAATATGGTATGCTTATTTTAAAAAGATTTGTTATTTACATATGTATTATATAACATGAAATTGAGATGTAAATGAGAGAAGAAAATTTTTAAATATAATAATATATATTATATGAAAAATTAAATAAATAAAAAAAGGTGGCGGGTTAGGCGGGCCAACCCGCCACACCCGCGGGTTATGTGGTGCGGGCTGGCAAAATGCCAACCCTAACCCGCTCTTTAGGCGGGTTGGCGGACTGGCCCGCGGGCTTCAACCCATATTTCCGCTCTAAATAATCCGCTCTATTTTAGCACAATTAAAGAATCTATTTGTCTGAGAAATTCCAAGTACATGTGGTCCGCAAAAGATAGTAAATCCAAATTAATTATATAGATGGATAAGCATGAGACACAGGATGATCACTTAGATGGTCAGGTCTAGTTTTGCCTATAGCATGTCCAGATCTATTTGACAACCTCTTCTATTTTCTTAACAAATGTACCGGAAATTATGGAGATAAGTGCATTAATCAGCCCAAAAGAAACCACTAAGATGCTTCACAGGGAAAATTCACATGCAATATATGTTAAAGAGGTGAGAATCGCAAATAAATTTTCCAAGACTGAGGAATCAATAGGCTTACTGCTTGCATATTTCCTTCTTCACGACGGGATGGCAGTCATTTCCAAAATACGTATTTAGAGTATGAAACAAGAATCCACTATGCGTCACTACAGCTATCTCCTTCTCCTTGCGAGTCAACAACCTGTGATTGCGCGGAAAACTTCGATTACAAAGCATTTCATGGAAGTTTCTACTTTCTGACTGATAGATTCAAGAGCAGTGGCAAGAACAAAGGATATACAAAATTGATTCCCCTCCCCCCCCCCCCCAAAAAAAAAAAGCACATTCAAACGGTTATTATTGGCTGTTGAAACAAATGCCATTACTTTGGTTCAACGTTAACAAAGTAATCATGTTATTTCTCACAATTCTGAGATCAAGATAATTTCTTAATTATTAACTGACGGACTCCAACAAAGAAATGAACTTCTCATTCAACTCAAAAGCTCATAAGGAAGTTTAACTTTAAGCAGCTTGGATTTTGATTAAACTCAGAAGCTCCTTTAAAATTTGGCATGAAAACCAACAGATATTACAAGACTTAAGTGGATCTTAATCCTGCACATGTAGTAGAACTACATTATATCTGGGTAGAACCTTGAAAAATAGAAAAAAGAAAAAGTAATTCACAGACGTAGCTATCACTTTCTTAAGCTTTATATGGTCCTAATATAATGGAGAATCAAGATAACTAATTCGTAGTTTCATACCAATTCATGAATTCAAAACCCCTTTTTGCAAGTTCTTCCTTTGTCTCCCTAACGTCGGCCTTCCACGACGTATCCTCATTACTATCTATCTGAAGAGAAAATTCAGAGGGATTGGCATAAAACCCAAGAAAGCAATAAAATTAGCCTGATTTTAAACTGCTTAAGAAGGCTCTCAAGCATCTGTTAATATTTTAAAATGCCATCTTTGATTTGCAAGAAATGTAATACTTGCCAGTGAGAAATCAACTGCAGGGAAAGCAAACTCATATTCGCTGATGCTTCTTCTTTTGTCACAGGGATGAACTCCCTGCACAAGCAAACACATGAAGAAATAAGCAAGGGCTCTCATGTCAATGTATGCATTAAGCTTTAGAAAACTTGTATAAAAGGTATGTTGAAATAATTTTTACTCGGCAAAAAGTAAACTTCTGGCAATTTCATAGAAGAGATGAGAAAATGATGAAGCAAATGCATCTCTTTCAATAATTTATACATAACTGATTGTATTTTCTTGCATATGATTTCTAGTTCATTTTTGTTACCTTAATATCATTCAATGGCCTATGAAAATTTTTGGTGTAGCGCTCAATATTCGCAGGTCAGACCATCGGGCTAAATTATGATTAGACTGTGATATAAAAACCCATCAACAGAAAAAAGTAATAATCTTCAAATTATTCCACTAAACTGCCCCCGTGTTTTTGGTTCAATCACGAGATAAAATACAAAACGAACTGCTATCGCTTTATTTAATGAAAAAGGAGAAGTGGATCCAGATGTTTTGGCGTTACTGGAACTAAATTCATCCTTGGAGATCAAGAAATTAAGTATTTACTCGAAGCTAATTCTAGAACTTTCCAGTGCATGGTAGTAGACAAATTATCGCGGTGATTATCTTTTCTCCTAAACATTTTTCTTTACCAAGACAGTGCCCACATGATAAGTCCAAATTGCAAAATTACCCACCAAATGTTCACGACAAAGTTCAACAGCAACTATCGGTGGACAATTCAGACTCGAAATTGCTGGACGGTTACTGTTTCCTGCATTTGCCACCATAAGCGGCAATGCATCCGTTCTATCTACGTAGTCCTCACCACCAAATACCCCAACAGCAGTTTGTAGAGTCCTTAAATGCCAAAGAAACCGTAAGCCATGTTAATCCATATTGTCTGTACCTCCTCAGCTGGAAGTAATTCAAACAACCAAAATATGGCTCCACAAGGAATCCTACCATTAATGGCGAAACACAGTATATGAAATTATCCGTAGTATAAAGTCATAATATAAATGAATGATGATTCCCAAACTATATCATGCAAACATTGCTACTCAATTCATTCCCAGAGCTAAGTTTGCTCATATGACGAGTGATGTACCCATTAAACAGCCACAGGTGCCGATCTTTCATTTGTAAGTTCTAGCATCAGGTCCCAGTAATGGCGTATTCAAAGATACAGCATGAGCAGTAGCAATAGCAACAACAAACTTTACCTCACTAGATGCATTGTACAAAAATATTAAACATACCAATTAAAAAAGCATCACAAATCCCCATAAGGGGACCAAGGATTTAGAAGATAATTAATGCCGAGAGGCAATCGCCTGTTTTATTTATGCTACACAACACAAATGCTTTCCAGTGTTGGGAACGGAGAGATTTGCAGCTAAATAGTAAGTAACATATACGTAAAAGTTGTGTTGCCAATCTGTGGCAGGTCACCGGCCTTTCATCTTATTCATCTCCAGTGATTCTGATCCAGCCATCCACTCTTTATAGAGTTAGAGGGGTTATTTCTGTTAAATTAATTAGGCATCTCTAGCGATTATAACAGCCACTTCCTAGTGGCTACTGTTTCGCCAACCTAATATTCCTGCCCCTCCTACTCCTTATTGTTACTTATACTATGCTTTTGCAATGTAACAGTTTAAGTCTCCTCCTCCCCCTCATTGTTTTCACAAAACAGAAAATCTCAAAATCTCCAGCAACCCATTATATTTTTAAGTAGCCAACAATATATATGAAAGCAATAGAGGATAGCGAACAATATATAGAAGCCAACAACGTAGAGCAGTGAAAGTAATATACCCATTATTAGTAATATCCTTATAGGATATATAGAAGCCAACATTGTAGAGTAGTGAAAGTAGCCAACCCATTATTACCCATTATAGGATAGCCAACAATACATAGAAGCAACCCATTACGCAGTAGTCTCTGTATATCTTGCAGCAATTGTGTGTGATTTTGAAAGTAATATACCAGATATATGAAAAAGTAGTAGTACCATATCAACAAACATTTATTTTTAACACGAGTTTCACCAATGTTCCACACTAGAGAAATCCGTAGTTGCCCTCCAGTATTGCTTCCTATGTAGTTAGACAATTTAGTATGTAGACTAAATGACGCTGATCATCCAGGAAAAGGTAAAATGCTGATAGTCTAAACCATAAAGTATAAACATAATCATAAATATAGACATAACATCTTGTTGCGAAAAGAACGTTACAGAAAACATTATTAGAAAATCTCTGGAAACCAAGGCAAAATAGGCACAACATTTTCAGACCATTGAATTTCGCCCAAAAAAAAAAAAAGCAGTCTCAACAAATCTGCCTTGATAATTGGAGTTAATAGAAAGTGAAAAAAAAAAAAATTAGAGTAGTGGCATTAAGTCTTCAAAATTTCAAGTTCAATTTCCCACCTCTGTCATAATCTCCAGGTTCCTCACCTTCAGCAATATTAGCAGAAATGAACAAAATAATCTTTCAAGCAAAATAGAAAGCAATATGGGTTGTAAATCCTTAAAAGAAGAATCAGTTCACCGATATCACTAGATCAAAACACAGGTATTATTACCTTAATAAAGGAGATGCAATTACTAGATCAATCCTCTTTATGAGCCCGGAAGCATGAACATGCTTACGCAAATTGTCAACCTGTCAGTGTAGAGAAATTATCGTTTACTCTCACAGAGTAAAATGTCTTTTTCTTCTCTGAAAGCCACAAGAAATGTAAGCCCTGGTTTCCAGAATAAATTCCACATGATAAGCTGCAAACGGACTTGCGCAGTCATGCTTTACCTGCTGCCAGCCTAGTGGAGTAAGATGTGCATCAAAAAAATCAGGATTCAAGTATGCTTTGTAGTTCTTATCTCCCTCCACATTGTGGATCCCCTGAGCATGCCTGACCTGGACGTATGATTTTGTAAGTTGGAAAATCTTTGACTTGCAGAAAAAAGACCAAGAAAGAAGGCAATCTTGAATGTCCTTGAAATGAAATATATAGCAGCCTCAAACCCACACTGGATATAATGTGTTGAAAGTAAAGTGAGTTTGATACCAACCAGGTGAATGGTTTTGCACCGATGCAATGGATACAAACTTGAACCAGCACCACAATCCATATTTCCAGATAAACCTGATGAACATTCAGAACAGTGATATCACGCCTAAAGTAACAGAGCACAAGATCTCCACGATATTGGCAATAACAAAATGCATGTTTCAGAACGTGAACTATGACTAGAACAGCGTGCTGTTATTTATTAGTACCGCAAGATTGTTATCCTTTAACAATTCATTTGCAATTATGCATACTATTTCCCCCCCAGTTCGTTAGATTTTGCCACGGTCTACAAATTATGCTTGGTTATTTATAGTTTCACTAGCTCCGTCACTTCATTCTCACTATCGACATATTCTACGGTCTACACATGTCAGTATACGCACATCCTATGAGTCTCCTGCATAATCACCAACCTCTAAGAAAGTACACAGGAAGCAAAATCAACTATCAAGTAAACTGTGACAGACTCCTCGCCTTAATCACGATCTTCAGAAGAGTTCGATAGCTCGTTTAGCAGCAACATCCAACTACAAACTTCCATCACAAACACATTTATTAATTTTTTTTCACCGTTCTGAAAATTGCGGAATTCTTACGCACATAGAATTCGAACTCAATGCCTGTTTAAATCACCATTTCAACAGTATCTAACAAAACACTAGCGAGTAACCACAAACAAGCAAGAAAACTGCAGAGTCATAACGGAGCTTCCGAAGAAGAGAATCAAGCTGTACAACTCATCTAAAAGCAAAACATCTTACTCAAATATCACGCAACGTATGAACAAGCATAGAGATCTGAGGAAGTACCAGAGAAGCAGAGCGCAGAAGGAATCAAATGAAGGTCAAGTTTGCAGGAGCTCGGAGAAGAACAGGAGCGATAACGCAGAGAAGAAGAAGATGAAGTAGATCGGAATGCTGGGAGAGAAACAGAATGAGGATGAGCATATATAAAAGCACTAATAAAGCTCATTGAACATTGGCGATGAACAGTAATTTATTCTTCTGTTCTTCGCTCTATTTCTGGTAGTTATGTTGCGTCGCCTTGTGTCCAGTCAATTAGCTTCTCCAAATTCATTCGATTTCGATAAAATTCCGGCGGCACAAATCGCGTTGCGTCCGAATTATGTGAACAAGTGACAGCTTTATACTAACTAAAGCAAGCTCATCAAAACCAATTTTTCTTCATATTTTAATACAATTTGTTCACATGCTTTTTATCTCCAGGGTCAAATGGAGGGATTTTTTTTAGTGGGGTATAATAATTTAGGAAATAAATTTTAAGAAGTTGCTTTTATTATTGCTTTTTTTTGTTCTTGATTGTTTTTATTATATTTTGCATGAATTACATAGGTTCTTTAATTTTTTGAACTAGAAGAAGATCATTTAATTTTTTCATAAAATAGGTAATTAGATTATTTCTAAATGCTTATTAAAATATACTACTTCTGACCTTTAATATAAGAGCTCGTTTAATTTTTATTTTGTCCTAAATATAAGATCCAATCTATTTTATCTCTCATATTTATCCATTTTTCTAAGATAGTCCTCGTAATAATGATAGTTCTATACAATACACTTGATCAGTAAGAATATTTTAGAAAAGACAACACTTATTTATTACAAATAGCTAATTTAATTAGTTTTCTTAATCTATTTAAAGTAGTTAACTAGTTTTTATATGAAAGACTGAGGGTAGTATTGATCTTTTTTTAATCAAAAAAATATATTGACTTTTCATTTTGAAGATTAAACCATTCATTATCCATCAATATATTACCTCCAATCCTAATTATAAGAGCTAGTTGATTAATTTGAGAAAATTAAAAAATAATTAAATTAGTTATTTGAAATAAATAGAGTGTCTTTCTTAAAATATCCTTGCTAATCAAGTGTATTGACTAAAACATCATTATTACAAGGATTACCTTGAAAAAAATACATAAATATGATAGACAAAGTGGATTTGGGTTTTATATTTATGACCAAAATAAAAGTCAAATAAAGTCTTATACTCTTATATTAAGGATCGGAGGCAGTATTAATAAAATCATCTCTCATTGTTCATTTGGAATAATTTATCAATTATAAAAAAGGACATCCCATAAAAGTAAAATTGTCAATATATGAGTATAAATCCACATTTAGTTGAGTTTAAGCTAGGTTAATTTGATTGATAAAAAATTAGCTCATAATTCACAAAACCATGAGATTTAAACTGCATATGTAAGGACTTTGTTAACATAAATCAATTTAATTATACCAAACTCAGTCACCATCAGATCATATGCTGCTTCTCTTTTTCATTCTCCTTAATCTACGTGTATTGTCGGGGCGGAATCTGGTTCCGTTTTAAATTAATGAATGAGTCCAACTTTATTTATATTATGTCTGTGTGGGTTCACTCCACGTCTCTTCCAACCCCCCAAGGAATGGGTGGGAATCTCCTCGCACTATATAGGCGAAACTAATTTCAAATTAATCTATATGGAGACTCTAATGTGTTAGAATTGGCGTGCATTAATTTTGTTGGTGGTTCAGATGAAGTTCAGAAAAATGCATCTTAAGCATAGAAATTTCCTCCTCATCCCCACCAAAGAAACGGGAGGATTTACAATTACATAAGTTGTATTAGTCAATAGATTTCTCCCTGTTAAGCAAGTCTGGCGCATCATCAATGTTGACTCTCAATCTTTAATAAAAGTTGATATGAACTCAACATCCATAATCATAAACCATACAACTCCTCATGGTTTTGAAAAAGTATACATTTTTGTATTGATTTAATCGTATCCAATCTTAAATGGAAGTTCGTAATGAAAGAAACATTCTTTTGAATCACTTGGTATAGTTTTAGATAGCTCAGTCTATCAAGTACAATTCACAGTATGATCTACCAATCACAATTTACAATATGATCTTAGATTTGAGACTTAATTCTACGTGATCTTTCTTAATATTCTGCCTTTAGATTGGAAAAATAAAAAAACTACTTCTAATTCTAATTATAAAATCTCGTTTGTAATTATAAAACTTTGTTTGTAATATACAAACGAGGTCTTATAATTATAATTAGAGGTAGTATAACTTTTTACAACGAATAGAGTGTTCAGATAATTTTAAATAATCCTCTTTCACTCACACTTTAAGAAGAGAAACTCATTTACAGTGGTTCTAATGATAGTGAATACAAAACTGAAATGGGATTCAAATGGATCCCCAATCAGTCCTACTACTCAAGGTTGCCAAATGGTTTCTTCTCTAAGCCTATATGGTATTTGACACGGAAGCTCAAACTACTTATGAAGCATTTTCTCTTTGTTTAGAAAATGATACATCAATCCTTGCCAATTGGGGTCATTCTTCGGAAAAATAATCTAAATTGCTCAACCAGATTTCCTTTTGGCTGCTCAGCTCTGGAAGCCGTTGATCATTTTTGTGCTCAATGCAATAACTCTAAAGCCCTATGGTTTGCTTGACTATCCCCTGGATTTTGTATTAGGTAACTCTTTCTATTTAATACCATCATCTCGAGCTAAAATCAATCATCAACTAACATAACATAAAAATTATAATAAGACTTTGCATTATGAAACACTTCTTGTTTTAAATTGTTTATTAATTACAAATAAATGATCTACTTTAGTACTCCTCTTGTTCTTAAGGTAGGACTTAATTGTTAAGTTAATTTTGGTCCTAAATATAAGACCTATTCTTTATATTTATTAAATTTTTCTAAATTACCCTTATAAATATTCTCTTAACCATAATCAAGTAAGTGATGGACGAAGGATATTAAGAAAGATGATTATGGTATTTTAAGAAAAACATGTCATATTTTTATAATTAACTAACTTATCTAACTTTTTAATCTAATCAAATTAGTTAAATAGGTTTTATATTAAGTACCAGATGAGTATTATGTATGTCTATAAGAATAAGATTCACACTGTAAATTTACAGATATATTCTATAAGTATGTTTAATGTGTTTGATAACTTTTTTACATATGTAAAAAGAAAAATCCTAAAAAATTTACTGTTGAATTTTAAAATGACAAATCAGAAATTACTACAAAAATATGTTGTTATTTATTTTTTGAGTGTAGTCATTTTCTTTACAAATATAATAACTAATACTGATTTAGAATTTTAAAATTCAACAGTTATTTTTTTGAGATTTTTCTGAGAACTTTTTCAAGCAACGTACAGGTAGGGGATTTTTTTTTTTGATAAATAATTTAGGGAAAACCATATTGGAGACACTTATACTTTCTCTCAATTTTCAATTTGGTATCTATGTGTTTTTTGTTCTTAACTAAATCTTTAATTTTGCTCTATTAACATCATTAATCTTATATAGAGACTCAAAATATCAATAGAACAAAGTTATAGGAGCTAATGTTGCTAAAAAGATAAAATTAAATGTTTAATTAAAGGGAAAAAACACATAGGTACCAAATTAAAAATTGAGAAAAAGTATAGGTACCTCAATATGGTTTTTCCAATAATTTATGTACTTTTTTTTTAAAAAATAATTTGAGCCGTGACTCTCTCCGTCGTTGTCCAGATTCTTTTCACTCTCTGGAATCTCCTCTCCAGAACCGATGCTATGTCTCCGAAACTCCTTTCACCGCTCTTCCCTTGGCTCTTCTTACTGACCTTTGCATCCCTCTTTTTCTTTTATTCATTTGTTTCTATCTATAGACCCTCTTCGTCAACCTCTAGATTGATCACAGTTCCCACATCCTCCTTCTGTAATCTCTTCAGAGGCAGCTGGGTCTTAGATCCAAATCGCAAGCCATTGTACGATGAGAATTGCCCATTTCACCGGAACGCATGGAATTGTTTGAGAAACAAGAGGGAAAATATGAACCTGATCAATTCGTGGAAATGGGTGCCTGAGGGTTGTGAGCTGCCGCGAATTGACCCGTTTCGATTTATGGGGTTGATGAGGAATAAGAATATTGGGTTTGTTGGGGATTCTCTGAATGAGAATTTCTTGGCTTCGTTTCTATGCATTCTGAGAAATGCTGATGCGGGTGCTAAGAAGTGGAAAAGAAAGGGAGCTTGGAGAGGAGCTCATTTTCCCAAGTACAATGTCACTGTCGGTTATCATCGTGCTGTGTTGCTTTCCAAATACCAGTAAGAATATTACTGCGTTAGTTCTTTCACTTTGAATTATGCATGAGTTTCTTTATTCAGTGCTTTCTACCAATATTAGTAACTAGCAGGAACAGCTTCATAGCAATAGAACAATTTGTTACTTGCATTATTCGGTCTATTGAGATTTAGTTCTCGAATATGTAATGAGTATAATTCTCAAAAATAACAAATGGTGGCACATCAGTTTTTTGAGGAGATCTCCGGGTCATTTGGTCGGAGAACTGCAACGAGTTTTTTTAGCTTCAGGTGCATTTTACTAGTTATTGAAAATAGTTGCTTTTAGTTTACTTGTGAGTTGCTTGCGCACATGTTTTGAAATGATGTTGTTCACTGACTGGGAAGGAAAAAGAACGCTTATTCATATATACTGAATTCATTAGAGGAATAAGGTGCGTAAAAAGTGTGTTTTACCTAGGAAGAGAAACTGGCTTTTATTAGAATTTAGATATTTTTAGGATCAATCCAATGGAGCACTAGCTTAGAATATGAGATCTTTTGTATAATGAGCTTCAACTCAAAATCAGCAGGAGTGGGATTAATGACATACCTTTTATATCTCATCTGCGTGATGCATTAAACTTCATCCTTCAAGTGTGTACAGAAATGCAATTTTGTTTGTTAGCTGGTATGCTATGAATATCATGGCCAAATTTTTCATGAATAAAGATATTTTTGTCTAAATTGTTGGACATTTTTGGTAGACATGGGCGTATTTTATGGAAGCATATGCCTGCTGGTTCACAAGTGTAGCCACCTCCTGCTCCTACCTATCTATAGTCTATACATTAGCCTGCTGAGGGTTCTCTTTTTATGGTGTCATTATGGAAGTGACACTGCTACTACTGTTAGCACTCCAATACAAACTGCAATTTTTTTGTTGGTCTTGTTTTAAGACGCATTGCATTCTAGCTATGAGAGGATACAGAAGAAAGGGGAAAGTGCAAAAAAACAATAAATTTTGGGCCACTTGCAAATAACCCCTAAACTTTTGAAAACAGAAATAAAGACCTTGTTTGGTATAGGAAGAAGAATTCTCTCTCCTTCCTCCTTTTGTAATGCCTATTGTGTTCATGTATTCATTATTCAAGTGTTTTTATTCCTTTTTGGTGCTTCTTTAAAGCAGTTATTGAAAGGTCATTTTCACCTTCAAAATTACTTCCTCCATTTTATTACTTTTCCTTCTGCATAATAGATGGCTCCTAAGTCCCTCAACTTTCACACTTCAACTCAAATACCATAACAAACTTTCCCATTACTGATGTGGCATTTTCTCATATGTCTCTAATGTTAGCATGTCAATCATTGGACATCTAATGTGACATTTGAGTTAAAAGTTAAGGAAAATAGAGAACAAAGGGTCTATTTCTTGGAGTGGGAAGTTTTATGTTTTGCATTTTTCTCAAAAATAATGTTCTATTTTCACTAGTTTGTGCCCTTATAATTTTGAAATAGCAATCTCATATGCTTATTACTGATTATCAAAAGGTGGCAGCCAAAGCAATCTGAAAACGGACATCAAGAGGGATCAGAAGGTATATATCGAGTAGATGTTGATGTTCCTGCAGATGATTGGGTTAATATTGCAGGCTTCTATGATGTCCTTGTGTTTAACACTGGCCACTGGTAAATTCTTGTTACCTATGCTGAACTTTGAAACTGTTAAATTATGGAATACGTTACTGCTTACATGCATATAGAAAAAGCTGTTGAGCCTAGACATCAGAAAGAAGACAGAGACTTGGCTAGTTGTAACTGTTTGAAGTTTCTAAATTTATAACCTATCAGTTACTCAGCAATTCTGGTCTTGAATAGGTGGAATTATGACAAATTCCCAAAAGAGAAGCCACTTGTCTTTTATAGGGCTGGACGGCCAATTGTTCCTCCACTGGAAATGTTTGATGGACTAAGAGTTATTCTTGACAACACAGTTTCATACATACAAGACAAATTCCCAGCAAAGACACTGAAGTTCTGGCGTTTACAATCTCCAAGGCACTTCTATGGTGGAGACTGGAATCAAAATGGAAGCTGCTTGTTGAGCAAGCCCCTTGAGAAGCATGAGGTTTGTATTTTTGTAACCTGCCTCGTGTTTAAGCTGTCTATATGATCTTACTTTTCTGCCTCTTGCTTGCATTCAGAGATCATCTAAACCAATAGACTCGAGAACCTTGTCAGGGATATAATAAAATCATTACACGCTCTCACCTAACAGCCTAAACTTTGAGTTGAAATGATCATTGACTCTTTTGTTTCATGCACTAGTTGAGAGAAATAGATACTAATATCTGAGCAGCTTGACTCATGGTTTGAACCCAGGAACAATGGAGTTAACCAAGAAGCAAGGCAACTGAATCTTCTGGTTGAAAAGGCATTGCAAGGAACTGACATCCATGTGCTTGATTTAACTCACTTGAGTGAATTCAGAGCTGATGCTCATCCAGCGATTTGGTTGGGAAGGCAAGATGCTGTGACAATCTGGGGTCAGGATTGCATGCACTGGTGTCTGCCTGGTGTCCCTGACACATGGGTTGATATATTGTCACAACTGATCCTTAATACATTAGGAAGAACCAGTGGATCATGACAAATGGAAAGGTTTTTATGTAGATCCAGTCTATAAAAAATAAGAGACGAAGTCTATACGAATATAAACAAGGAGTTTTTCAACTTTTGGAGAGGTTGAGTTTTTCCCTTGACAAAATCAATTTTTAGACAAAGTAAATGATACAAGTCCAAGGGTGAAAAACTCAACCTCCCAGGCATGTCAAATGTAGGTTCCATTGAAAAAATGTATAACACAATTTCATGTCTAATTATTTTTAGTTTAGTAACACTTATCTTTTATAGATTGGGTCTACCTAAATTTTTTTGAAAAGCACGATTAGAAGTCATGAAATCCACTTCATGTGTTTGCCGTTGAAATGGTACGAGGCTTGTTTATTGTGGAGATGTGAGAATAGAGGGTCTTCTTTGAGGGGTTAGATGCAATATCCAATGCTGATCTTGTGAAGAAAAGTTGCAGCTCAAATTGGGAGGGAAGCCGTGATTGATTTTGTGAAGAGAAATTGATAGCCAATAGATGCAGCCCCGCCAACTTATTCAAATAATAAATTAGTAACTGTTGAATTTAAGAGTAAGCTTGTTGGTTATGGATGACCTGATGAAGTAATTATCTTAGCATTCTTAGATGTGGAAGCTTCAGTGCGTCCTTTTATATCCTGCACGGAGCAATAGGATTGTGAGTTTGCTGATTTATTATTTACTCAACCTGGTCATTTTATTGGGCCTTTAACCTGTTTTGGTATTTGGAAAGATTTGAAAGCTTTCAATTTTTTATATTCAATCTTGTAATCATTTAATATTCTGCAAAAATATTAAATATAAAATTTATGGAATGTTATTTATTGTTCCAAAAATTCATGGTATGGAATAACTATTCTGAATTTTGATGACTACAAAATTAAGGAAATGCATATCGTGTACTTGCTAAAAAAACACTTATTTTTTATTGATGTGAAAAGTGAATGAGTCATAAAAATCTCTATATAAGTTTAAAATTTATTAAAAAGTCGTACTCTTTCGATTTTTAATATAAAACTTAATTATTAAGTTAATTTTAATTTTTTATATAAGACTTATTTTTTATATTTATTAATTTTTTTTAAATTACCCATGTTAATACTCTTTTAATTATAATTAAGTATAAGAAGAAGGGAGGATATTAAGAGAAATGATTATATTGTTTTAGAAAAAATATCATTTTTTTTATAGTTGATTAACTTATCTAATTTGTTTAATCTAATTGAATTAGTTAAATATGTTTTAAATTAAGGACCTGAAAAGTATTATGCAGTGTCATAAATAATGTGTTTTTGTTTCAAATTCCGCACACTTTGGAGGACCACATTCTCGTTTTTCATGATTATTTATTTTTTTGTGAAATACATGTCAAATTGCTATTGTGGGATCAATTCTTTTTGTAAATGTCGTTTTCAAGTGCCTGCACAATGTCCCATTTGTAGCCTCATGGATGAGACGCATCCCATTTGCAATTTTTTTTATATGTGAAACACAGCTTAGAGAGCAAATTGTGCAATTAAATTTTATAACTTGCAAATGGGCAGGGCATTGTCCATGTAACGATCTTCCCATACAATCCATATCCATGGGTTCCAATCAATCCATTATGCCAGGAATTTTGCACGCAAAGAACACAAAACTACAATGACAATTAATATAGAAAATAATCATTATAATAAAGAGAAGTTCAAGAGCAATCATACGAGTTCTCAATGTAGAAGCAGGTACTTGAATGCTTAGTTAATAGTTACAAGTTGATCTACCCAGAAAACAGATATGATAGCACCAGGTTATGAACAGCTTTTTTGGATATTTATTTACTCCATTGGTCTTGTAAAATGTAACAGCGAATCTAGAAAGAACTTTTATATACAAACCAGCAGGATTTGAATGCTAAAAATTCACTGCACACACCAAATTTATGAGTCTGTTGATAAACACAAATCAGAAATGGAGCTGCTTGCACTGTGAAGATACAGCTTCTGCTGGACAGTAAGGACACTTGAAGGGTCGGGTGCTGCTTTTCGACAACTTCATGATTGATTGCTTGCAAAGAACATGCAAACATGGAAGCAGCATTGGAGGATTCTCTTCACTTGCTTGATCCCTACTCACTGGGCAGACAAAAATAGAATGAAACTGAAATTCCTTTCCCAGTTCTACGGGCACTGGCAGCTGTTTCATTGCCTGCCACTCTTGCTTCTTTGCTGCCATTACATTTGCCAGCTTCAAGAGTGTAGGCAACCCTTCAACTCCGGCGGCAACTGCCACACTCAATGGGCTCTCGTAGGATTGTCCCAGGAGAATGCAGAACTGCCGTGTCAGCTCTTCGGTAGTCCTCTCCCAATGGATTTGGGACATCAACTCAGAATAAGGGGAGTTGTCAAGCCTTCCTGCATACAAGAGGCAACCCATAAGCTTTTGGAACTCATCCTTGTGGAGGGAAGCAAAAGGAGCAAGATAAGTTCGGGCATATTTTAAGGCATCGGCTTGAGTTCCATTTTGCAGGACCTCTACAAACTGCAGCGTATGAAGCTTAAGCTCGAGATTGGAAACACTCTGGATAAGTTTAGCTCGGTTGGCAGAGATCCATGTGAGAGCAGGTTGGAGGTTCTTAACTCTCATAGCTTCAAGAATCTGATGCATTTCCAGGAATTGAGATCTTAGTGAATTTAAATTTGGTTCCCCAGCTTCATTCATGATGCTATCTCCAAGGTCAAATTGCCCTTGACGGTAAAAATGGTTTGCAATAATCTGATTCACAATGTGAAAGTCAAAGTCAACATTTCTGTATGCCTTGGATACATCAGGATTTAAGGATTTCTCCAGAAGTTTTTGGTACTTGGTAAGACTTATATTCAATTCTTTCTGTGGTCCTTCTAGCTGTTGAAGCGCCCCAATAGCATTAAGTTTAAACTTAAGATCTGTGAGTATAGATTTCTGGTCTCCAGGAGCTGAGTCATGAGCTGACTGAATTTTCGCCAAAGCCTGTTCAATTTCAAGCCCTACCTGATCAATGACTTCTTGGAACTTAGAAGTAGATAACTTCTGTTTCTTAGATACACGGTCAAATGCATCTCTAATACTATTCAGCTCCATCTTTGGTACTTTGGTAAGAAGCCACTGCAGAAATTTAACAAAGAAACCAATTAGACATGCTCCAAAAAAAAAAAAAAAAACTACTAATGCTTCCCGGGTACGAACTAACAAGTATGATGATAAAACCATTTATTGTATATACAACAAAGTGAATTGCTAGCTACATCACATCAACGCATCTGGCCTTAATATGAAGAAAACAAAAATGAAGCACTGCAGTTTTGTTCACCGTTTACTCTTGACTGAGAGAAACCTTTCCAACAGTGCAAAGAGAATTGTAACTAGGAATATGTATGGTGAATAGTCAAAAAAATTTATCAAAAATGAGAGACATAAGCAAGCCAAAAATTTGAAACTATTTCCTCTTAAAGTTTGTTTTCATCACATTTCATAAGAGCTTACAATACGCTCCTAGCATCCTAACTCCACTGAAAAGGCTTCCCTATGTCCAAAGCTTAGCAAGAACATCGGCATCTTCTTTGCTTCTTTTTATAGGAAAAAAAATTATTGAAGAGTTCTGAATAGCGATATAAAACTGAGAACAACAGTTCTACAACAACAAAGAAAAAGAAGTTACAAACAAGAAATCACTGTATTTCCAATAAAAGACACACAATGTGCATAAGTCACAAAAAAAAGATTTCAAATACCAAAAAAAGGTAAAGTTTATTGAATCTAAGCTTCACCTCATCTAAGTCTCTAAATAAACATAGTAGAGAATCTCCAAGTGGACTCGGCCATACTTTCTAAGATTTATGAAACAAGAAAGCTCAAAAATCACTTCCAAGCTGGCTTGTACGCAGAAGACCCTTTCATTTGGATTTAGTCAACACTGGTAAAAATGACTCAAAAGAGCTCCAAAATGCAAAATTAACGACAGGGAAACCACAGGGGGTCAGTATAAAAAGGTGCCAATCACGTTTTTAGCTTCTCATTCATGCTATATATATTCCTCATATCTCATATTCTACAGCTGTTAGGATTCTACCACCCATTATAACCTACACTAGACAAAGGAAGAAGCCTGGGATGGAATCCGCGAATAAGGTGGGGCCTATTATTGGCAGGAATGACAATTAGGAAGTTATTTTAACTTGTTGTCTGCATTGTCAATATTTTATGAACCATTAGGACAGTTATTATGTAGGATGCTCAGATGTCTTACTCTAAGCATGCAAATTCCAGAGATTTTGTGCTCATGAGTCAGTTATTTGTGCATGTATCTTGTGTGCCACAATAGTATGTTAGTTATATGATGATGCGTGTCATTCTATGTCAGACTATATAAGTGATATTGATTAATGGAGAAGGGCACGGAATGTTATGCAACAAAACTCTTGAAGACTCTCAGCTGTTTGTTTAGTTTTTTTTTTTTTGGGGGGGGGGGGGAATAAAGGGCAAAGGCCACAGAAGCAAAAGAAACAGCAGCAAGCCCACTATTTGAGAATGACTCAACCAGGAATACCAAACCGTTTTGTTTAGTTTATGCTCTAGATTTTCAATAATATGCTAATTAAGATTATACCTTTAACTATTCAACCCAGTTGTTACCAGGATCCCAATATTGTAAGAAATACAGCCAGAATTATAATTATAAATCTTCTGAATATCCTGATTCATTTCGCATGAGGATCTACAGCTAATCTGACATGTGAGTTGAAAAGTGAGGTAACTCAGGAGGACAAAAGTTTCAGAATAAGGCATCTTACAATTGGGATTAATGGAGGACACCAAACAACCAACAATTGTAGCAGTAACAGGTAGATAAACATGAAGGTCTGAATTCTCTAATTAAACTATCAGCTCCAAATATGACTCTTCCCAAAAAAAAAAAAAAAAAACAAGAGAAAACCTTTACAGCTTTAGGCAATGCACATAAGAATCATCCAATTAAAATAACATATAAGCTTCTCCCAAACTAGGAAAAAGCATGAGCCTATTTACTTGTTAATTGTTACGTGAAAATGTGGGTCTTCATCCCACAAGAGATATCAGAATAAAGCCATGCTGAGTCAATTTCAGGTGAAATCAACACCACTACACTATCAATACAATCAGATCATTTTCTATACAAAAAAATAAAAAGCTAATTTGTTGCCTTATAGATGGTACTTTCCCATTTTCCCCATGTTCAAGTATGCAAAGTAATTGGTGGTTTCTCTTTCACATTTTGCAAGAGTCATAAAGGGGAGAAAAGAAAGAAAGAAGCCTGAAATGCACTTGTCCGAATACTTTTTATAACAAGAAAGCACCAGGACATATCTCTTGCATTATGATCAAGTATTAAAACCAGAAAGAGTTTGAGAGAGAGAGATAAGAGAGAGGTCGTCTATCCATGACCAATCATAAAGGATATTTGAAACCTCAAGCAAATAACCAAATATAATCAGTTATCCATTATCAATCATTGGTCCTTTCTTTAGGAGTACCCTTTTATTTCCTCCAGTGAATGCTGTAGTAATATTTTTCAAATGACCTAACTTATTAAGGTACCGTTTGGTACGATGCATTGAAAATGAGAGATAGAGATTAGGATTGAGATTGAGAAAATATATTAAAAGAGCATTTAACATGAGAGATTGCTTGTTACCTGGAATTAGACAAACCCATGTATATGGGATTGAGGAATGCCATGGGGAGAAGGGGTATTCCCCAATCCTACCTCCTTGGGTTTGCCTAATCCCACGTAACAAGCAATAGCTTATGCTAAAGACTTTTTTAATAATTTTTTTCAATTGCAATCCTAGTCCCTATCTCTCATTTTCAATGCTTTGAACCAAATGGGACCTAAATGTAACCACAATTCTATAGTTTGATGTCACATGAAAATGAAGCACCGCCTTCATTTGACTGGAAGTAGTTCATTGCAACAAAACCACACTCAAGCAACAACAAAATTTGCTAAACAAAATCAACACACATATCTTTACCAAGAATCAGTCTTTCCCGTATAATAGGATAAAAAAACTCATTATTGGTAAGCATAGATTGCAATGTCCACAACAATTATATTATACAGAGTTTGTCCTCCAATAGACAACATCAGAATCAAATACCTAAACGAAATTCTCATAATTACCCTTCTTCTCACATAGGTCCATAAAAAACAAGGGTCTTAAGCAGCACGAATCAAACTCCACAGAATGCAATCATAAAAGGCAAAAAGTGAACAATTTACTTTCTTCTCATATTGCCCAATTCTCAATCGATCACAATATCGGGCTTCTTACAAATGCTTATAAGAATATTACCACGAACTTCCACTTCTTTGGTACTACGAATTCAATATGTAAGACAACTCAGAGAAGACAGAAGCAGAGAAAACAATCAAAATCTACATAAACATTCAATCGACCTCTTCTCGAATTTCTCGAACAAAAAAAACACAAAAACAATTGAGATCCATTCTTTGCCCCATTCAATAAAGCGAATGTAAAAGGGAGAAAAACGATTTAAACAAAAAAGAGAATCTAGGAAAAATTTAGAGAAAAATAAATAATTGCAAAAGGCCGTGGTTTTCTTCTGTTACCTGAAAAACAGTGGGAGGAGAGGAGCAAAGCGTACCAGGGAGGCGAGGAATGCAGGCTTCCTGCAAGTGCGTGTGCGAGTAAGAAATCTGAATGGGGGGGCACTCACACGTGCGACGGGAAATCTGTCCAAAACAAAATCTAAATCCGAATGAAAAACTTTCGCAGTAACCATATTCATTTAGATAATTTGTTATTTTTAAAGTGAGTATATATATATATATTATATTTTATTTTCTTAATTTTTAAAATATGTGCAATATGAAATGCAATGGTAGTGATGGGCACAGGGCAAGTCCTTAACAAATCCCTGGCATCTAATCCATCTTGACACTGTTGATTGAAAAAAGAATCCATCTTCTCGCCGTCTAACACACCCTAAATTCCGGTGGCCATCTATTTTTATTTTCTCTTCGTTTATCTCAATTTTTTGTTAAATTTAGACTATTTAAAAATTTAATACGTTTTCTTTTTTTTTAGGCTTTTTTATTACTTCAATAATTGAGCTTACAATTATTTTTAAGATAATAAATTTTGTAATTATGATTATAAATTTTTTTTATTATTTGTTACTAATTTGAACGGATATAAATTAAGTCGCATGTCAGTCTCATTTCATAAAGTACGAGTTGTCTGACAATTTTTTCATAATAAGAGGGTGGCTGGAATTGTATAAAAGTGCTTTCTAAAAGCATTTTTCTGTAAAAAGAGACAAACTCTTCTATATATTTACTTCGTATATTAATAAAATACTTTTAAAATTATGATTTGGTTTTCATCCAAATAACCTTTAAATATAGCTTGGTTTATATTGTAGGGAAAATTTGAGTCAGTCCCTGCAGAAGAAACTTATTTTCCAACAACGGTCACAAAATTCTGAAAATTTACTGCTTCCACCAAAGTGACATTAAATTTCCAATAGCCATCTCATATATATCCTCAGATTTAGAGAGCCTTGTAAAGCAGCCACGGCTGCGAAAAATAATTGGCAAGACCACTCACATTTTCCAAAGAGCAATATACCAAGAACGAATTAAATGTGCCCGTCTTTGCGGAGAAATTTTACTTTACATTTATATTTTTTTATTCTCTCTCTTTTTTTTCCCTTTTTATCATTGGAGGTTGGAGCTCCCTGGAGCTCCCTTTCTGAGAGTGGCCAAACACTTTTGATAGGTTCAATTGTAATTAAAACGCGTGGGACCTTAGTTGTCCTAACAACAACACCACCCGTCATGTTTAGGTGGGATTTGAGATTTAAAATTGCCATTGGCATATATGTATAATTGTATTAAATGTACTTTACAAGCAAGTGTAAGAATACGATTGCTTCTATCCCAATGATCAAGTTTGTGTTGGCCAGTCCTAGTTCATCCTTGGTGGGTTAAGATCCAAACCCATTAGAAGCGGGAGTATGAATGGGTGAGAACTTGTGTTTTGCCCCTTTCCCATTTGTAATATTGGTTGGGAACAGTTTCTAAACTGCAAAACCGTTTTACGAACTTAATGTTCAAGAATTCTGGTGAACTCCATGACTTTTTTGCGCCAGCACTAAGAAATCCATGATAAAGTATCACATGCTATGACTTTTTGCAATGTTTTCTATCTATTACATATTTTTGTAGCCGTATTACTCTGTGCAATTTCATTTGCAAGTCCAAATTGGGTGAGCAACCATGAACTGCGTTATTTACAGAAAGCTTCAGAGATGGCAAATTTCAATGATTACACTGTACAAACTGTTGTTTATACGGCACAAGTATATGTGCAAGAGTGATGTAAAAGTTTTGAAGCCCGAGAAAAGAAGAAAGCCAGAATGTGAAAAAGCTCCTATTTGTTTTGCATCTCAAATTAATAATCACCCCAAACATACATATTAATGGGAAACTTGAGAAAAGATCTTGATAAATGTTATTGGAAGTTTATTGCATAACCTGAGTCTTGTAGCTTATTGGAGACTCCATGGAGCTAGAAGCTCAAGAAGCTCTCAGCCAGTCTGGACATGGTGAACTAGATATGATGAAACCACTGAAGGTACTTAATTATATCGAGACAGATTGTGTTCAACATGAACTGTTTCTGCATCTGAAATTCCCAGCGAGTCCAAAGAATAATTAACTAACAAATGGCTTTAGTTGAAATACTTGAAATGTTAACGTGCAAATTGTTGGCTTTCATATGACATCTTTTAATTCATTGGTTCTTGCAAAAGTTCAGCCTATATAGTCTGATCATCAATTTTTGCCTCTCATGAATTCCATAAACGACCTGATATGCTAAGCGCAAGTACAGGAAGTTATTTCTGATTTTTCTCAGAAAGCCTGATTATTAGAATAGAGCCCAAGACAATTCTTCAACTGTTTATCTGAGTGTTGTTAGTTTCGCCATGTTTTACCTAATGAATCATAGAGATAATTGACTTAAGGAATACAACTGAAGATTAAGAACCCTTGCTCTCTAAAACTCTCAACTTTTAGATGAAGGTTGTCCCAAAAAGAGCACAAAGCTTGTAGATGAAGGAACTGAGGTATCTTATACTGTTAGGTGATCAGAGTTGATGATTTGATGGAGGCACATGAACCTATGGCAACAACTTCACCAGAGTATGAACTATCAGAACTGAACCAGACATATGAATCTTTGTTGGGCTGAAAAAGATTCTGATGAACAAGATTTTGATTCTATTTATATGCAATCTGTTAGCTTTGAAGGATATGGTTTTCTGTATAGTAAATCCCAATTGCTGGATACCCAGACAGTTTTGGAGAGAAGAATCCGGTGCAACCATCAATCCCTTTGCATACAGGCATGCAAGAGCCTTAATGATTCTTCCTTCCATTTTGATTATTGTTTTTACCAGCCATGCATGTTTTTCTTTCATATATTATACACAGCATACGGAGTGTGAGGAATGAGCTGACTTGCGAATGATATAATTTATTATAAATTTTATTAAATATGTAGATTATTTTATACTCCAACTGGTGCTATTTTGTGAGCTTCAAATTTGGAGAGGGACGTGATCCATTTTATAAGCTTCAATTTGGGGTTTATCTAAACATTTAATGCCTTTTTCCCCCCATTTTTTATCTTTAATTATTTATTCTCTCCCTTTTGACATGTCCTCATGTCACAGTTTCTCGTTTTTCATCATTTTTCTCATTTATTATAGAGTTATATTTGACAAAATTTGAAAACAAAACTATATTTCTAACGTATTTATTGCTTTTAAGTAATTTTAACTAATTGTTCTTTATCCGTAAATTAGTTTTTCAAAACTTATAATAAGAACTGGAAGGAATGTATATATATTATTAGAAATAAAAATAATTAAATCTAATGATAAATTATTACTCCTACTTTAGAGTTAGAGGAGGAAGTGTGAGTGTGTAACAAAAGACAGCTTGTTGGACACCACCATTATAGTAGTAGCTGAGATGCCAACTTCATACTTCAAGATGATATTGTTCTCTGTATGGTTGCTGGCCAATCATTGACCAGCACACTCATTGCATAAGCATTTCCCTTCCACAAGCAATCTTCTATGGACCCAAATGAATTTAATACATTTTTGCCCGTTTAATGCCTCGGAAGAGGTTTTGAAGGAAATGGATAATAGAAGTGGAGCTTAACTACTAGTAATATCCACATTTTGGAAGGAATGAGATTTATATGTTTTTATTGTTTTATAATATTATTATGTTCATGCAATTGTTTTCCAACATTTTTTTAGATCGAATAATAAAATCAGAAACCTGCAAAAATGTTTCAAATGAGATGAACAATTTCTTAGGAGTAGCCAAATAAATAAATAATGTTGAACTGAGAAAATTTTTTTTAGATTTAAGATTTGTCATAATTTTTTAAATGACCTAAAAGAATTATCCAACTTTTTGGCTGCTTGACTCGTTTATAATTTTAATTCATCATAAACTGTCCTTGCAGGGACTTTGTTAAACTCGGGAACTAAATAACGTAATAAGCAGACTAAAAAATTACATAGAGAAAACAGCCTTTATGAAAAAAATAAAATAAAGAAACTTTGTTTTCTTTTGACTATGATTTTAAAGAAACTTTCTAATATTTGCCAGATAAGATAATTTGACTAATTTCGGCCTCACTTCAACAGAAATTCCTTTTTTGCCTTTTTTAACATAATACGTGTTATCCTGTCTCTATCTTTTTTTTTTTTGCCCCCCAAAAACAAGTCTATTTTATTAATTTTCAAAATAAGGTTCATAGAAAGCTGTCTCTATCTTTCATATTAGCCCTTTTTATTTTATATTCGATAATTTGTTACCCTTATCTCTCATAATTTTTTTTTCTTTTTTGGTCACGGATGACAGAGGGAAGATTTATCATACTATATATATATATATATATATATTTGTAGTTTTGTTTTCCATTTTATCTTAAAATCTTTTAATAATTTAACTTTTACATGCGTTATTTTCAATTAAACGTGAAAATTGAGGACATAATTTATGAAATAAATAAAATTTTAAAAATAATATTTTGATGAATATGAGATTACAAAACAATTTAAATGTCAATTTAAGCACTTTTTTGGCTAAATGTCCCATTGCATGAATCCCAACTCCCAAGCTATATTTGAGAAAGGACTCCGATAATAACCGCTAGTTTCGCTCTTCTATCGTCACCCTCACCGCTCGACGCATGTTCGTGTTTATTATTATTATTATTATTATCATTATTTTCTTTTTGCATAACCTGTTCTTAATAATTTTCAGTTTCTTACTCTTCTCATTGCCGCTCACTGCCACTATCATCCAAAATCTAATCCTATTTCTTGAAGGAATAGGAAAAAGCAAAATTATTATATGAAGCGTTGATAATACGAAGAAAAGCTGACGAGTTCGGTGCCAGAAGGGAAAAAGCATCTTTCTTCCTTCCGTTCAACTGCAACTACCATTCCGTTCATTTTCGTTTTAACCTTAGTCAAGATTGAAGCGTTGTTGCATAAAGTGTATAGCATATTGTCATGGAAAATTGTGAGGAGTCAAAGCCGAAACCATCTTCCTCTGAGCCTGAACCTACTGGGGTGGTCACAACAGAGTCTCAGCCCACTGTGGAGACACAGATGGCGAAAGCTTCTTCGTCAATGATCCCCACAACCTCATGGTTTACCCCGAAGAGGTAACTCTTAACCATTGTTCCCACATTCTTGTTTTCAAATCTGGGAATGAAAGGTGTGGGTGGAGCAGGGGAATTCTGGGTGTATTTGAGAATCGTTGCTATTTTGCGTGTGGCCTAGTAAATTGAGATCTGGTGAACTCCCTCTTCCCCCGGAGCTGTAAATGACGTATATTGAGTTGTCGTTTAGTGTTGATGTCTTTTTTTTTTTTTTTGGCGGATTCCATCTGCACTATTTCTATTTTGGAGATTCTTTTTTTTTTTTGGTTTTTTTTTTTACGGGGTGGTTTCAAGATTTCTTCTTTGTTTCAAGTTCAATGATTTTGTGCATTTGCGTGTATTATGTGTTTTTGGAGAATCTTTTGACCACACTCCTTTCACGGACAGTTCGGAGAGTCGTTCTTGATGGAGCCAATCTATATTCTTTTGGGTGGCATTTAGTACCAAGGCAATATCTGATTTCCCAACTGTATGAAGACCAATTTACAAAAGATTATAATATAGAAGATCATGAAACAATTAGTATTCCTTTCATCATAAAAAGTAAAGAACATTTAGTATTTCCATGTTACGTAAGATACAACGTAAAAATTTTAAACAAGTTGGCTCATGTTGGGAAATTGAACAGCTATGTACCAAAAATCAAGTTTCCTATTCTGCAACACATCAGAAAATGCAAACCATTAACATTTACACGTTGATATGACATTCACCATGTTGGCTAATTGCTGGTCCCAACTGATCGAGTGCATGTTCCTTTCACTCTAGTGGTAGTACGACAGCCAATATGTAAAAGCATTAGACACTCGTTCTTGCTGATGTGAACATCTTCGTTGTGTTTCCCTCTTTTATTTTGGAATTCCGTGAGAAAAAATTCATATGATTAATATTCTTCGACTGTGAAATTTAAGTAGGATTTCAAAAACATTATCATCCATTATAAATTCAACGCCTCAAGCTCTTATATTTTTTTCTGCAGGCTACTCATTATATTTTGCCTGATCAACTTGTTAAACTATCTAGACCGAGGAGCCATAGCAAGCAACGGAGTTAATGGAACTCAAGGAACTTGCACAAAAGGTGGTACCTGCGCGGCTGGTACTGGAATACAGTAAGATATATTATTTTTTCTGAAACTTCTTATCATCTCATACTGTTGATGAGTTTAATTTCTTCTTCCCGGTGTGGTTGGCGATACCTGCCTTTTTGCCTTTTTTCCCCCTTTTGATCTGACTTTTGAGCTTGTTCATGCTATCAAGAATTGGTATCCCTGACAGGTGTTCTAACAATATTGTGGAAATATCTGATGTTGTATAGAATGTTTTCCTTGAACACAGGACAACATAATATTGAATAGGAGGGGCAATAGAAGGGAATGGAAAAATCACGGTGGAAGAGATGGGGCAGTGGCGAATATTTGGGCAAATTCAAATAGGAACAGGAAATTAAGATGTTTGCAGAAGTAGTAATATAATAGAAGACATGTCTTACATAATGGGAAACCAGACTAACTAATGAAACTAACTTCCTAATAACTAATTTTATTTTGCATGTGTAACCTCATTTGTTGTCATACAATAGAACCAGTTAAAAAAACCCTATGTCTAAGTGTAGCGTGATATCAATTGATTGTTTTAATATATTTTTTGCTTAATTTTTGGTCATAAAACTATGTTTTATGTGAGTCTCAGTTTAAGGTTGTTATCTATTTATTATATGATTAAGTGCTACAAGTTTGTTAAACTAACGCACTGTTCACAGCTTCACCCATCATATTTGATTGATATCATGTGTTTGCGATGAGCTGGGGGCTGCCATATGGTTTATCTATATATATAAAATTTCAGTTAAAGCATGATGTGAAGTGGAAATACAAGACATGCAAAACGCAGTTAAACCATTTTGATGGGTAGAGAAAGAGGGATGTCTATTGATGTGAAAGATTATCCATTGTCATCCTTGCTTATCAATATGGCATGGTATATCAATCTCCTTTTTTGAAGAACTTAGTTCTCTGGACTTCAAGATAAACTGTCTCTGCTGCATGTTTGAATTTACCCTTAGGTTCTGTTCTACCTCAATTCATATTGGTTTATGCGTCACTGAATTTTCAGGAATTTAATTAGCCAATGTCTCACTTACAGTTTTCTTTTGTAGGGGACAATTTAAGTTGAACAATTTTGAAGATGGAGTTCTATCGTCTGCTTTTATGGTTGGACTTCTTGTGGCTTCTCCAGTATTTGCATCACTAGTGAAGTCGTAAGGCTTTTCTATCATAATGGTTGTAAATCTATGTGTGCTATGATGCTTCTAGGGCGAGGCAAACTATTTCAATAGAGTCTTGTTATGAGATTAATGCTTATGGGCATGATATATATATATATATATATATATATGGCAGTCCTTTGGCATTGGTATTGGGACATGAGTTAATTTTCAAATGAGGACAGGACGTTTACTTTCCAGTTCCAGCCAGCCAGATTTACACTAGTTTGTTGGGAGTCAACCATATGACATTGCCTATCTGCCTTTTAGCTTCACAATTTGAATATAGACTCATTATGGGTATCAACTTAATGTGATCATGTCTACTTGCATTGCATTTAAGCATGGTGGCATCTAAGAAGTCTATCCAGTGTTGTTGCACTAATAATCTTTATTTATTCTTCAGTAGGTGAGTTTTCCCAGCTTGATTTGGCTTGTGCGTTGAATTAGTAAAGCTTCAGAAGATCCCTTGCCCCTGAATGAATCTTCTGAAATCTGAATAGGCTTTGAAACCACAACGACCTATTTTGCTTGAGATCATTTATTCTTTTGATGTGCAGGAGTAATTGGCCCCATCGTCTTGGGTGTGACTTCAAATTGTTTCAAAGCAAAACACAACTTTAATTTTATGAAATGATAAGTTATAATGCTTTGCTTCATAAATTAACTCACTAACTTCGGAGTTGATATCAATTTATTTGACCTTTTGTCAAATACGTTGAAGTTCCATGTTTAGTGCACATAAGAATTGAAGAAAGAAATTTTAACCCTTTTCCTTCCATCCAGATGTTGTAGAACGCACCTTTGATCAGATTTACAATTTCTATCATTAACTTTCTACCAATGAATTCTGACATGTTTCATTTATTGTGCAGTGTAAATCCGTTTAGACTTATTGGAGTTGGGTTGACAGTTTGGACTCTTGCAACCATGGGTTGTGGTTTTGCTTTCAGTTACTGGTTCATTACACTTTGTCGCATGTAAGTAGTCTAATCTCATAATTTTTAATGTCATCATTTTTTGTTACTGGATCTGAGTTCATCGAAAAAGGACTCAGTCTGTAGTTGCCTGTATCAATCTGCGTCTAGCTGAGTAAATCTAGGAATTGGCTCGTATTTGTTCCTTATGATTTTGTTGTTCTGTATAGGCTAGTTGGCGTTGGTGAGGCATCATTTATAAGTCTTGCAGCTCCATTTATTGATGACAATGCTCCAGTTGCTCAGGTTTTTTGTTTTCCCTTTCAATCATTTACTTTTTTGGATGTGTAAAATCTCGTTTGTTATTCACTTTTTCTCATTGTCCAGCCTGCATTTTCCTTCACTTATTTAAACTTGTTACGTTAAACTAGTTTGTGCAATCCCCAAGCATTTAGTGGTTTTAGTTGGTTGTCCTTCTTGGGAAAAAGCATTATTTTTCAAAGGATGGTTAGATTTTCAGTTTCCTAGGATATAGGCCATCTTGGACATTGGTCAGATATCTAGAAATGTAAGATGTCCTCTGTTTTCCTTTATTTTTTATTATAAAGCTTATAATGTGCTTAGAACGTTGAGAGAGGAGAAAGCTAGAGATATTATGAGAGAAAAAGATTGTGTCATGGAGATAGCTAAGTATGGTGTGTAAAGCATAGACCCCCTATATTATACTAAGAAAAAGAATTACATAATGACCATTAAAAATGTTTATAGAAGAGACTACATAAGGCTTCTTGTTGTTTTCTCTTCCATTCCAAGAAGTGTCTGTTTCAATGTTATTGTAATCACTGTCTATTTTTCTAATCTTATGAAAATCTCTTTTTATACTTTTGTGTCAGAAAACAGCATGGCTTGCGATATTTTACATGTGCATACCAGCGGGATATGCTCTTGGCTATGTTTTTGGTGGTTTTGTAAGTTTATCTTTAGCTTTCATGTCTGAACTAAATACTCATATTCTTGCTGCAGAAAAATTTATATTTTTCTTGCTCTTCTTTTCCTTGTGTATTTGCCATCTCATGATTATATTTTGTGTGGCTTCTAAATAACTGCCTCTGTTTGTCAATAAACAGATTGGAACTCATTTTGGGTGGCGTTATGCATTCTGGGTGGAGTCTGTATTGATGATTCCGTTTGTTATTATGGGATTCTCGATGAAGCCTTTGCAGATGAAAGGTGCACATTTTTCTTGCATTGATGTTTCTGGTCCTGTTAGAATTGTTCAGCTCTAAATTACTTGCGAATCCAGGTTTTGTTCCTGCTGAATCTCAAAAGGCAGTGGCGCCTGAGACTGTTGTCTTGCAAGTTCAAGGTAAATATTATTATAAATTAAGGCGTAGTACATACATTATCTGATGATAATGTCTTACTTCTTTGTTGAAGTAGCTATTGCATTAACTTATGATGGATAATAAGGACCAATCTCCATCTCTGACTATTGGCAATGCTTATGGATAATGCATATTCACTGCAAATTTGTCTTATTGAAATGTCTGTTAAGAAATTTTATCTAGTGATATCTAGCAAATCATCTCTCATGGAACTGGAGAAATTGGGTTTATTTTTGTTGGTTCTTATTATGCAAATTTCTTTACTGGCCTTGACAAAATCCACTTATTCACTGTGAAGATACAGAGGCTTCAAATGGTAAAGACGACTCACTGTCCTTGAAGTCAAAGTTTGAAGATAAAAGCTCGCGTGAACCATCCAAGTGGTAACACTTATCCTTCATTAATAGGGTGGCGTTTTAATTTTTCCAAATGGTTGATGGGTTATTTTGACGCCTGATTTGCATTGAGGGCATTTATTCCTTCATACGTATTTGTAAATTGTGGCTGAGCTTGAGACTGTTCTCTTTCTTTCAACTTGGCAGATCACTCTGATTTCTCTCTGTAATAAATTTGTTTGTATCTTTCCCTGTCTAACATCTACAATATATTTTAGCTAAAATACACATTTAGTCCTTTAACTTTATACAATATTTCAATTTGGTTCCTTAAGTTTAAAAAGTATACTTTTAGTCCTTTAACCTTAAAATTGTTAACAAAAAATAATGACATTGAGATCTTAAATGTTGATAAAACATTCTCAAATGTCAAAATATCAAGTATAATTTCCAAAACAGCCATGATAATTACCCAAAAAAACAGCATTTAAACCTAACGATTTTAAGGTCAAAGGACCAAAAATATACTTTTGAAGGTTAAGGAACCAAATTAAAACATTGTATAAAGATAAGAGACCAAATATATACTTCAGCCTATGTTTTTAATCAATTATTTTCTTATTTCAGGTCAACATCAGCTAGCAATGTATGGGAGCAGATCTCACTATTTATGAAAGATATGAAAGTGCTTTTGCTTAATAAGGTTTATGTCGTTAATGTTCTAGGTACTTCTTCCTAACTGATATGCTGCATTTATCAGCTGCTTAACATTCACTATTATCTTGGTACGCTTACCGCCAACTGCTGAAGATATAATGAATCTGTGTCTCACTCGTTTATACGTTGTTTCACTATGTCTCTTCATTTAATTCCCTGTTACGAATGTCTACTTGCAGGTTACATAGCATACAACTTTGTCATAGGTGCTTACTCATATTGGGGACCCAAAGCTGGGTATTATATATATAACATGGTGAGTTTCTTACTTCTTCTAATTAACTCACACACACGCACCCATATATTTGAATATGACAATCTTTTTATTCAATCTCTTTTATATCGTTTTAATTTCATGAAATAAAGTTCACACCTGGCAAATCAACACATTTTCCGAGTATACGATAATAATATTATCCCATTGTTAAGTCTGGTCTGTTTGGCAGACTGATGCTGATATGATATTTGGAGGAATCACAGTCGTGTGTGGAATATTGGGCACGTTAGCTGGAGGCTTAATTCTCGATTACATGAACAACACCCTATCAAATGCATTTAAGGTTGGCATTCCTAGTTAAGAGAAAAATTTCTGGCATTACTTTCATGCCTGGTTTTGAGTTGTCCAGAGTACTATGTTAACCTACTCTATTTAGCATATTGTTTGCATTCAATTGCTCTGTCTTATCAAATGCCTTGAATCTTTTGTAGCTTCTTTCGTTGTCAACAGCTATTGGGGCAGCATTTTGTTTTGGTGCATTCTTATTCAGAAACATGTATGGCTTCCTTGTTCTTTTTGCCATCGGTGAACTACTTGTTTTTGCCACTCAGGTACTTTCTTCTCTGTGATGAAGATCTCTTCACGTTTGGTGGCTCCATTAAATTGACTTGACTGGTTACATCCTTGCCATTTAGAAAAATGTGTTATATTTCAGTTTTCAATATTCCTCTGTTAGCTAGCTTTTGGTCTAGAATGTCCCAAGATGAATCCTTGGAAGTTATGATGTAATGTAAGGACGACCTGGACATGATAGAAATGGATTCAAACTTCTAGCTGCGCCAAGTCCCGTTCTATGGATGGTCATATTTGCTTTGTTTTGATTTATCTGCTGTGACTTGAACCTCTTTCTACGTGTTTCAGGACCCATTTCTTCTCCTTTGTCTATAAAACACTAGTATTTTTTTCCAACTCTTTACATCAAAATTTGACTGAATTATATTATTCTTTTTTGGGCGAATGTATTATATTATTCTTGAAAGATCAATTTTAATTGGAACTGGGTTACTGCATCATGACCACCTGTAGATAATTCTGCTATAGCACAAACCCATATGAGAGCCAAGGTCGCATGTAATCATTATAAATGATTTTCTTGTCTGAAATATTGATCATTTGAAAATATGTATCAATCCAGAGGATCAATTTTCTGTGAACTTACCTTGCTGCTTTCTCTCAGGGTCCCGTGAATTATATATGTCTTCATTCTGTTCAACCAAGTTTGAGGCCTCTATCAATGGCTATGTCCACCGTTGCCATTCATGTCTTCGGAGACGTGCCATCTTCCCCACTTGTTGGAGTTTTCCAGGTTAGTCTTCTTGAATTATATTTTATATCTGATGAGAATAATTCTTTGAATGCCCAGTTGCTAAACGGGTTCAGTGGAAATTTGAGTAGAAGATGCAATTTCTCATCATTGAGGTGGTGTACTGTAGTTCTGATATCGATGTTACTGATCTGGCAGGATCATATTCACAACTGGAGAACCACCGCACTGACTCTAACTGCTATCCTATTCCCAGCAGCAGGAATATGGTTTATAGGTAAGTCGTCATATTCCTGTTCATTTCCTCTGTTTTTGGGTGGTCAAAAGATTATTGAACTTGATGGCTGGACAAAACACGCCTACCTGCCTTGTTCTGAATCTTCATCTTTATTTTAATAATGAAGAATTGGGTCCACAGGGGTAGGCGTTGAATTCCTAATCTTCTCGCATAGAAGCTTTGACGGGTATTTTGTGAAAAACCAATGCAACATGAAAGCTTAGCAGTGAAAGCGCATCAATAACTTATCATCGTTTCTAACCATAAATAACTTCAGTCTTTCAAGAAATCAAGTTCATTCCAACCTCAAAGAAGAGAGAAGCTTATAATTGTTCCTTGGGCATATCCAAATCAGCTCATCTTGATGATGCAGGAGTATATTTGATATACAAACTCTTGGATTAGCAGAACTAACTAACAGCTGGAGCTTGAGCTTTTCTGAATTTGCCCGTTTGTTGATTTATTTCATTAATGTGGTGGTGGCAGGTATATTTTTGCGCAGTGTTGATAGATTTAACGAAGATAATGAAGTGCAAAGGTCAAACACCACTCCATTGCTTAAAGAGAATAATAATACTGAAGATACATCACCATCTGCTCCTCCTGCTCCTCAACACCAACAATGTTGATTCCCTTATATTTTCTTAGTGTTTATACGGCCACCATTCAACTGTATATAGCATTCGTTTTATTCTTTTAACACTTAAAACCTCGTTTTTGGTTGTGCTAAAGGAAAAGGAACATACCAAGATTCAATGTTATAATGTATCATTGGTGTGTGATATTTAGCAGCTTTTTTGACTTTTTTTTTGTTAGTGGACCAAAAAAGGGCACTGTGGCTCTGCCAATCAAATATCATATTAATGTTGAATATGTCTGACTCTTGCTAAATAAGCACTCCTAGAGAGGCACTCAACGCTAGTTCATATACGTACTAGAAAAGTTTGAGGACAAATGAACTGGCTTATCAACACAAATTGGTATTTCAAGAATAGAACTATTCACTTTCCATCCTTTTTGGGGTTGTTCCTTGTTAAAACATAACTAGGGGTGGTAATATAGGTTAATCCACGGATTGTGGCTTAGCCCGTGCCGGGTTAAATTAGGCAGTGCGAGTTAAAAAGATCTCATGTGATGGCGAGTTGACTTTTAGCTAACTCTAACTCGTTATGATGAATTGACAGGTTGGCTCGCCAACTATTATTTTCTTTTTAAAATTGTTTTTATTTTTTAAATATTTTTCTTTATACAATATAAAAAAATATAATGAAAATTTTATCTTTCCTGCAAATCTTGATTAAAAGCACCAAATAAATAAATGATATATGTATTTTTTTAATTTCCAGATAAAATATAATAACATACATATAATGATTAATAAAATTTAAAAAAAAGACGGATTGTAGGTTAGGCAGTGTGGGTTAAAAAGCTTTGTCTACTAGTAGGTAGACTTTTAGTTAATCCTAACCTATCATTTTTTGTAGATTAGCTGGATCGACTCGCTGATCCAACCCACATCACTAACTCTAAACATAACCTTTTAAAGGCAATTATCTATTCCTAAATGCCATGCAAAAATATTGACACGAAAATGTTAAGTATGCCCAAACTATCATGAAGATTTTTAATCTTAATTAGGGCTCTGCGGTCTGCACGTGTGAAGTATGCAATTTTTAAACGTGGGTGATATGAAGGGATATATTATAATAGGATTAAACCTATAAAAATATTTGGATAACATTGAATGAAAAACAATTGAATATGTATGATAATCTATGGATATTTTTTTTGTAATATGTTGAAAATAGGTTTTTGCAACTTCCAAGATAAATGCACAATTTATCTAAAAGGGAGAGAGAGTTGGTTCTTATCCAAAGGCGGAGCAGAGAAGCAGGAACTGAATCAGCGGCTTTCAATTCAATACTTGCGGTTTTGCATTGCCACCCACAAAATAAAAAATTACCAGGAATCCTCTCGGTTCTGTACACTTACCTCAACATACTTTAATTAATTGATACAGTGAAAAAAAAAAAAAGCCCGTGCATTTTTTTTTAAAAGAGGATATTGGAGTCGGATGAGCACATATAGTTTTGTGCAGATTCTGACTAGCGAAGAAGACAACAACTTGGATGAACTTACTATAGAACTCATCTCGCTCTCCGTATACCACCCCACCCAATTATCTAGTCCGAGATGGATATTCAATATGTTTATAGATTTCGGAAATATTCTTTTAGAAAAATATTTAGTTATTGGAATAAGCTGTAATTTGAAGACCATGGTTTGAAATCCCTGATTTTTGGTCCCAAAAAATATCCCTGGGATTTGACCCTTCTAGACCGGGGGGAAAAACCACCAAAATCAACGCCCACAGACTCTTCCCCTGTTTTGGCCAGAATGATGCCTCTCCTCTCTGCTCTTTCTCACTAACTACAAATAGAAAATGTTTGATACTCTCTTCCTTACTCGTCACACATACTTCATTTTCCTGTTAATGGCGCCCACAGCAGCAATGCTACTTCTCTGTCATTACGGTAAAAGCCACAACTCTTCTGTCTCAGCACCACAACGCTCAAGCTCTGCAACAAAAAAATGGTGGGCTGTTAAATTAGAGAATCAGATCTTAAAAGCAGGAGGTTCAGATAACATTAGTCACACGCAGTGTCTTGTGGATCATAATTCTGATCTGGAAAAGAGGTTTGAAGATGCCCTTAAACTCTGCAACTGCTAAAGTCAGCCTCACAGTCACAGATTTTCCAGCACTTTCTTCTTTTCTTCTCTCTTTCATTTTGTGTATCTTGTCAGTCCTTTGTAAAGAAAAAGAGGCAACTTGTTGATATTGTGTTGTGATTCAGACTTTATTCCCTTGTATTATATTGTGCTATGCTATGCTACATATCTTCCAATAAAGCACACCCTTGCATATATGCACGGAGCTTGAGTTTTTCAACCCAGACAGATCTAAATGGAATTATGGAGAAAAGGTCAGGAGTGCTTTGAAAGGAGGAAGATTAAGCAAAAGGTTCGCTCCTAGATATGATTCTCAATATGATTAATCTTCTTTGCGACTAATCAGATAAGAAGGTTAAGCAAATGATTTAGTATCAGTTTTTCAACCCACGAGTCTCACTCCAATGAATCCAAGTAGTATAACAGAAAAACTGTGATGCATTAAACAGGAGGAGGTTCGCTCCTCTGCGATGTGCTAAGCGAGGGGAAAAGATTGAGACGCCACCCCAAAAAGTCCTGAACACTCCAGATTCATAAACTCGACGAATTGGGAGCAAATCTAATTAACGAAGATTAACACTGATGCTCCAAGATACTGAAATACTCCCTCTTGTCCTAATTATAAGAGTCAGTTAATTAATATGAGGAGATTAAAAAAATGAGTTGAGTTAGTTATTTATCCTAAATAAATGTTGTCTTTCTTTAAAATATCCTTACTAATCAAGTATATTAAGTAGAACTATTATTATTAAAAAAGCTACTTTAAAAAAAATATAAAAATATAAAAAACAAAATAAATTAAAATTTTATATTTAAAATCAAAATAAAAATTAAATAAAATCTTATATCAAAAAACTAATAACTATTAGACACAATATACGACACAATGAAACGCAACGTAGGAACGGTCCTCCAAAGCGAGTTTGGTAACTCACAACACAATATCAGGTTAACCATCAGCTATATAATTAAATTAAATCTTTAAACTAGGTGTTGCGAGGATCTTGAAGATCCTCTCCAAAAATTGGCGTATGCCGCTATAAGTGGCGAGCACACGGTATTCTTTAGTAAAAGGCGAAAGAATAGTTCGCTCTGTGCTCACCACACGGCTCCGTGGCTTGTTCAGTTTGCTCGCGTGGCTTTATATACAAGAAACATGGTTGTCGCTTGTTAAAATTTCACGATGTGGGACTTCTCGTTTGATTCTAATTATGATGGGCCTTCGGTTCTACGGGTCCGCTTGTTAAAATTTCACTCTCTTTTTTTTTTTTTTTGCCTGATATGCAGATTCACTTCCAGCCTAGTGTCGAGCTAGCTTTTGCTTTACAGTTCTACTTGTTCTCTCTCCTACACAAAAAAAAGTGTCTGGATACTCTAATAATCACTTTTTAAAAGTATTTTTTTAAATTGAAATAAATTCTTCTACATATTTACTTTGTATATCGTAAAAGCACTTCTGAAACTATGGTTTTGATCTTACCTAAACACACCCAAAATTCTGAACCTATTTGCAGTAACCATCTATTCACTGGACCTACTATCATCATGTGATTCAACTATAATGCGCGGATAATAATATAAGCGAGCGTATAAGGATGCAGTTGTGAAGAGTTGTTATAGAATAAACTGCTGAGAATCTTGAAAATTAAATTAAATTAATCCTTAAGTTCCATGAGAGCGAATTGTTACTCGCATCCTCTCCAAGTTATGATTCATACTCGTTAAGATCATAATATATTTTACTTTTTTTTTTAGTGATAATGTATTTTACCTTTACTATTAAAAGGAAGTCTTGAAAAAATTTTAATTTAGACTACGTGAATGATCATTCTAAAATGTACCGGTCATAATTTATTCTTATACCACTTTGAGGAGATTTTAAAATGCTTGTCAATTTTATAAGCTTTAAATTTATACACTGGCTTATCAATCCATGCACCATGAACACTGTATTCTCTGAATGAATATTGTGATATCTTACAAGTGAAAAGAATCTCTGCAAGATGGGCCTACAATGAAGAATCTATATTAGCCCATATCCATGTTGGTTGAGTTTTTCATTTGAAATAGATCTCACTGACCGCAGAGAGTATAGGAAAAACAGTAACTGAAACGGTGGAAGGAGAAGAAATAAAGAAAGCCTTTGAAAGGAATTGAACTCAAGCGCATTGGGTGCATCTTCCAGATAGAAAGAACCGTTGAAGGAAAGTGTTCCTCCTAGCAGAAAGAAGATCCAAACTGTCATATACTAAGCAGAAACGCTGACATATACCAAGCAGAAAAGAACTCCATCCCTTGTGATATATTAATTGACAGAGAAGCTTGACACATCAAACAGAAAAAGATGAAAAGGATCCCTCGGCCACTAACTAAAAACAGTCTGAATGATGAACAGAATGAGACCCTGATGCTATGGTTTGCATCTAAACGAAGAACAACCCCCGATTACATGTACGCAATAGACTTTTTGTCCTTAAGCGCTCCCAAACTAAGTGTACCAGGACTTCGCATGTCATTAGATTTTAGAACTTGGGATTGTGAGGATCTTCCGCAGAAGATCCTCTCCAAAAATAGGCGTATGCCGCTTTAAGCGGCGAGCACACGGTATTCTTTAGTAAAAGGCGAAAGAATAGTTCGCTCTGTGCTCACCGCACGGCTCCGTGACTTGACCTCAGAGCATGCGTGGCTTTGTATACTAGTGAGATGGCTGATGCTTATATCTTGGGCAATGTGGGACTTCTCTGCAGCGGCTAACCCCTTTCTCTCTCCCGGCCCCCTCCCTTTTTCGTTGGATAATTTGACCAACATTGCGCAACTTATCCGTCTTTTGTACACAATCAAGCTTGTTGATATTTTGTGCTTAAGACTCAGCTTTTCTCATGATAAAAAAGAAAGTACACTCCTCAGCCCATATCCATTTGCCTGAGTTTTTCAAACAAAACAGATCCAAAGTCGTTGAGAGGGGGAAAATTATATACAATCTCACTCTGATGCATATACTGAACGGAGAGAATGATTCGAACTCTGATATGCGACGCATGCATACTAAACAAGAGAAGATCCAACTGTGACATACTGAAGAAAAGGACTCACTTCCTTGTAATATGGAAAACAACCTTTGAGATATACTGAGCAAGAAAAAATCCAAACT